ATTTGTTGTTTTGTTTAAGTTGTTTCTGTGTTAACAAAAATGGAGAGAAATATAGAGGAACTCAAGTGAATAGGAACGAGAAGTTGTCCATAAATCAACAATGCAGTAAATATTATATAATTAACATTCATATATTCACACATATTTTTAAATCTGTGTTAAGATAATAATGCTCTTTCATATTGTTATTTAGTTGTTATAACTTATGAGAAATAAAACTTTAAATAACTTTATAAATGATTGATCTAATGAACGATTGTTACGACAGATTGTGTCCGAGAAATGGAGTTAATAAGAGATATTGACGAAGAGAAATGGGACCAAATGACTGAACTGTTCGCGCAATACCGGTGCGAAAGAAATGGCAATTATCTGACACTTCAGTGCACAGAAGCTGAATGTTATTGTGTGGATTCGATCTATGGTAATCTGGCCGATGGTTCTTCATCAAAACTCAAGACTGACCCTAAAGGCATCAGCGAATTACCATGCTTTAAAGAGTACGCCAACAAATTTGGCGACATGGACTATTTATGGCAAACATACCCCGATGTGCTTTCTTATATTTCAGACATTCCTAAAGCATAATTACTAATTATTAATTAGCATATTGTTGAATGTTTATTATTTTACTTTTACTTACAACAAATTGTTTTATTAATTAATTTTTTATATGATCATAAAATTGATATGCATTTTAATACAATTCTGTTTATTCAAGGGCTGTGAAACGTCCTTATTATTTATATTTTCATAAGTTAATTTAAATAGATTGATGTTACTGTAATGTATCTATTAATTATATATTTGTGACAATTAAATTAGCTCGTATTGTCACAGATAAAATGTGCTAAAGGCAGTCAATCAAATTATTTATAATAACACTTATATCTACGAACAAATTAATATCAATTGCAAATAAATTATTACAGTAAATGGCGGTTGTATTTAAATTAATTAAATTTCAGCGTATACTACAATATTTAAGGATTCAATGGTCAAAATTATACATTTGTTTTTTAACATGGTATTCTTATTTCTACATCAATGTTAAGATCAAATCAAATGAACTCTATAGTATATCTCTACAGTATATCAGTTGTTATAACTTATAAGTTAGTATTGAACTCATATACTGTAGAGCTCTATAGATGCATAACTTGTATACAAATTTCTTAATTACAAAAACATATTTTAACTATTTTTAAAAATTTAATAAATTATGTTATTCGCACGTGTATTAACGTTCAATCTTCATGTTTTTAAATTTCTCAATTTAATTTAAAGTAAAACCATTATCTATACATTTAAGATTAATTGACAATGTATTTTACTAACACTGTTGATACAGTTATTGTAATCAAATAACTTATTGATTGGAAAATACCGACACAATAATAATGGAAAAATATTAACTTATTGATTAAAAATAGTCATAGGATTATTACTATATCTAATGACAAAATTACATAGTTATACAAAATATGTTTTTATATTATTCTTAAACAAATGAAGAATATATCAATTCTTTGAATAGTTTGTCACAATTTACTGAAAAATGGTTTTGAGTGCAAACTGTTATCATGTATTGTTATTTTTATTGAAATCTGTTATTAGATTAAACAATGTGATAGATCTAATAAATCTATCCAGCAAAATACAACTGCAATTACAACATAATTCACTATAAATTTGATATAATTTTTATAACAAAATTACGAAATTTCCAAAAAAAATACATTATTTAAGAAGAGTTCAAATATCTATTTTAATAATAAACTGCGTTTAAATAATTTTAATAATAATTTAACAGATAATAATTATAAATTACATTAAATAGTAATTAATTAATTTTAACATGTGTTTAAATTTAATAAAAAGTTTATTTAATGATACTATAGTTAACTGCTATTATAGATTATTGACAGTCAGTGCACACAAATGTGTCCACAGAATTCAAATGTTTCACAATCTGAATCCAACGATCAGTCTATTTATGGTAAGTGTTAATTATAATTTAACTTATTATTTAGAAAATAATATTTTAAACAAATTTAAATCTATTTTAGTCAATATTATATTATTGTATAAAACAGTAAATTTAAACAATGTGCATTATACTGTATAAAGTGCTTTACCTTACAACATATTATTTGTTGTTTATGGTATGAAATGTATAAAACAAATATTTTTTAAATTGATTCCAGATCAATCTGGTTAAATCCCGGTACAATAGTTATCAATTATTAAACTAAGATAATTATATTATTACCTACTTTTAATATCAATAATAGGATATTTTAAGTAACTGTTTATATATTTATTATATAAAATTAACAAAATTATTTATTTATTACAACATATTCTGTTTATTATAATGTTTACAGAATCGGTGTATTTCACTAATATTTGTATAAATAGTTATAAATATAAATTTACAATAATAATGGAGTGAAATATAATAAATTAAGATCCGTTTTTAATATCTATTTACTTTTAATGGCCGTCAATAAAAGGCCAAACTTTAGACCATTATTTCATCTAAAGTTGTATTTAATGGTAAAAATGATCTCATTTTTAGTTTTTTTAAATTGGTCCAAATAAACAAAATTCTAGAGAAAAGGCAATAAAATACACATATATTGTGTATATAAAAGATCGTGATTTTGAAATCAAAATTTCATTTCCTTTTTTCAATGAGTCTAAAAAAGTAAAGATAAGACTCTCTAAAGTACTATAGACTTGCGTTCGCCGATTGTTTTTGTATAAAAATACTATAAAATGTTTGATAAAAACAAATTTTTTTTAATGAATTGTTTTATAATCTAATAATAATTATTATTTTTATTAATGCGTAAATCCAATCGTTAAGTGTTTTTAATTCATATATTTGTAAAATTATGAACTTTGTATTTCATAATAACAAATGATAGCTTATTAAAAGAGTTGCTTTGAACAAGTTTTCAAGATCAGAAAGCTATTCCGCAAAGTCTTGTAAAAGTCTAATAATAAAGTCTAATTAGTGTTGAATTTAATAATCAGGCGAAACAATGCCATCAATATTGCAATTGTCGAGCACTGGTGCCTACGATAACCCACAGTTTGTTTCAATTGACGGCAACTCCAATCATGTGATCGCCGGTCAGACACGAAGAAAGTCCAGTATTTTGCGGCGACTTTTTGCCAGCGCTGACCGAAGAGAGTCCGTTATATCCAATACTGAAGTCTATCCGAAGATTGAGTTCTATAGGAGTTATGACACACTTAGCAAAAAGTCAAAGAGACCCGCAATGGATGAGTTGCATCTACCTCAGTTGGCATCTAACCAGGTATCCATAAATTTATATTCACTATTATTTATCTTATATTTAATTAAATTACAAATTTTACACTAAAAGGGTTTCCCTTTTATTTTTAAATTTTTTTTAACAACTCTATAAAACTTGGTTCTAAAAAATGTAATATTCTTAAAATTATTCTATATATGCTCTATATATTCTATATATGTGTTGATTAACAAATACTCGAGATTTTTGGTTAAGGAAAGAACAATTTTTCAAAAAATATTTCATTAACATTGAATTAAGGTTAAAGTCATGTAAACTAAACGTTATTATTAATAATTAAAAGATAAATTAATTGCTAACAATTAAACTAATGATTTTAATGTTAGTGTTAATTAACATTAAGACAACACTTGTTAAT